TTCACACACCTCCTTGCTGTCTTGTTCGTCAGGCCTTGGCTAGCCAAAGACTCCGATTGTGGATTCCTCAAGAAAATTCACCTGCTTTGGCCTGGACAACCTGCCAGTATTCCGCCCACATGCAAATCATGGAACGTTTTACTTTTTATATAGATTATTCTACTGCGTTTTGTTTGGCACACAGTCTGGCCTCAGACAAGTGTGAAATATAATAATAATAATAATAGTAATAATAATAATGGTGATAATACGTCTGGGATCAGGAATTGCAAATGGTTCTTGCGAGGAAAAGTTTTTTTAATAATTTGAGCAATAATCGAAAAATAACTGGACACTTCAATATCTCCACCATCGGCATTGTCCACGATCTGTCTACTCAATATTTTTTTATTTGTTATCTAGTGCAGTTAATATGAGCGATGACAATTCAAATAATAAGACTCGTCAAGATGAAGAACTTGAGGCTATTTCATCGATTTATGCTGATGAATTTTTCGTGATCGAACCGGATAATCGGTAAGTTGAAATACTTGAACACGGTTTCCCAACATTTTTTAGCCTTTACCTTATTCGCATTTCAAGTGATCAAGGGAACGCGGCCACCAAAAAAACGATTGGTGTTCAATTCAAGTTCCCTTCCGGTTACCCTTCAACCATGCCTCTAGAATATGAGTCAGTCCCCTGTGAGATTGGTTGATATTTGTTTGTTGTTTCAGAATTCAAGCCCCTTGGCTCCGAGGACCGGCTTTTGATCATCTGAACCAAGAGCTGTGGGAACTAGTTACCACGTCGGTAGACTCACCAATTGTGCACACTGTGGTGGAGACTGTGAGAACGTTTTTGCAACAGCATGAAGCTGAACAATCAGCCTGGAAGCAAGCTGCTGCTATGGAAGAAATGGAGATGTATATTGAACATATCCCAGAACAGTCCTCAAAATCGACGGTGCACACAGTCCCGTCGGTTCAGTGTCATTTACAAGCCTTCCCATCGCTGTTGCCGATTGCAGAAGACTCTGCTCCCATAAAAATTACCCGTGGTGAAACTCTCGTGGATCGGAAAAGCGTATTTCAGGTCTGTAGGTTTGAATACTCCGTTTTTGTGTTTTTTATTGCACACACTTTTGTGTAATGAACAGCAGACGGGGTGGACTCCATAGTCACTAAAACCTGCTGTTCAGTCAAGGAAACCGGCAACCCAAGCTCCACGGGACGTGGAGTGGTGAACCACATAAGACTCCGCTAATCTAGGCGTGGTATTGAACCGAACGACGACAAAGCTGCCTACCACCGAAGTTGAGTGGCAGAGCCGGGGCTCGAACCTCGGACCATAGGGTTCAAAGCACCCCTATAAAAGCGACTAAATCACAGCGCCAGCACCACTTGTGTGTGTGTGTGTGTGCATTTCTCTTCCTTGTATTGTTTATCTAGTTAGTGTTTTGTCTACAAAAAAATATCTTTTTACTTCTTTTTTATTGATTGATTAACAGCTGTTCAGCCAACTTTCAGGAAGGGAGCCGCAGACATACAAAGGCTGCCTGGGAAAGTATAGAAATAGGGTAGACGGGTGGGGATAGACCAGTTCGAACCCGGGACTCACAAGTCACAAGTTGACAACCTAACCACTTGGCTACCATCACCCCACACGATTCTCTTCATTCTAACTTCTGGTACTTTATCCTTTTCCATACCAATTCCGATGACTGTTAATCGTTTACTGTCATGCTAACCGGAGAATGTTGCTCAACTCAGTCCGTGGGGAAGGTATCATAAAAGTCTTGTCATGTCATACCATACTAGTGTTGTGAGATGCTACTCACAAGTGAGTAGTATACATATATAAGCCTCAATAAACGAATATCCTCGACTAGCACCGCCTTTTGGAAGTATAACACTAGGAGCCCTTGAAATGTTTGAAATAATTCAATGCAACACGAAAGCCATGCACAATCACAGGATGCTATGGGGAAATCAGTACGGGTCGCAGAGTTCGGCTGCAATTCATGTGCCCAGAAAATTGCCAGATCTGCGAGGTAGAAGATGAATGAATGCCAGCTGATCGCATAATTTGTGCACTAATCCCTAGGGTAGGTGATGTGTACATACATCATGAGGATACTCATGGTTCTAGAGAACTGCAATAACATTAATAGAACTGCTGGTAGTGATGGTCTGTCTATTTCCGGTCGTTATTACACCCTGGAACAAAATACTAACTTTATCCAACACTAAAGGCAGTCCTTAGGGGGTGATAGAGTACCTAAGGATTGGTAAACTACCACTGAGGTAGCCATTTGTAACGTAAGTGCCTTTAAATTGTCAGTCGCGCAAGCCTAACTAACGTGTTATACAGAGAACTAGAAATAGTCTTTTGTGCTCCCCTGCCCGCTCTACCGTGAAACTAGATCGGAAATTGAAAGGCATTGTATGTGACTTCGACTTTTTTTTAAATCATGAGCTTTCCTTAGTTTCTTCTCAGATGGATGGAAGATTGTCTGTTGGATCACATTAGTCCCAAAGCTCACGAACTTGATACAGTCCATCAAGACAAAATACAGGGAACGAAAGGTCGTTTATGGAAAGCAGGAAATGCAATGCCCCCGTACGGAACCTTATGGTAATCCACTAGGACTTCTACTTCTTCAGAATGAGGGTTTTCATACACAAACTTCATCGGTTCTATCCTTTGATAAACTCATTTTTGCACTGTTTATTGGATGCATCTTGAGTCTAAATTGTGGCAAAGGCCGGTGTTTGCTCAGCTCTAGATATCTCTGGTATCTACGCGACGTGTCTTTCGGACAGTTGTTCGGTGTATTTCCGAACACAAGTTTATATCTCCACTCTGCAGTCTGGCACTGATTCTCTTTCAAGGTTCTCTCCGAACGTTTATTTCAACATTACGATCACTTGAATCTTAATCTAAATCTACGGGACTTTTTTATCCGAGTTTACAACAGAAAGTGGTTTTCATCAGGGTTGCTCTCTTCCTCCTTTTCGATTTGATTCGCTTATTGAACCAGCGCGGTTCCCATGCGAGGATAGCGCCATAGATTTGCTCCAAGTTGCAGACTGCCCGATTTGAAGTTTACAAACAACGTTGTACTACTAAGTGAAGATCCAGGTGAGAAGCAAGCTTTCCTGGATTGTTTGAGTCGTAGTGTTCGGCATATGTTTTGCACCTTCAAAGTGTAGTATGTTGGTCCAGCTCTCAACATTACACTTACTGGGGAAGTAATAGAAAAAGTGGACAAATTTATTTGTGCAGCCATATCACATTCGGCCAATGTGCATCTCGGATGAATTATCGACACGCGTACAGAAAGCTGAATTAGCATTTTCCACCTTGAGACGTTTCTGGTGCTCTCGCGACATCGGGTTGTTTGTGGAAGGTAAAATATATGCTGGAGCCATTCAGCCGGTGCTGCTTNTGATCCATTACAAAAATAGGAGAAAGACAGACTTTTGGTGTTAGAGCGCTGCTGTCCTCGCCGCATTGCACAATTTTGGTGGCTCAACCGGACAAGTAACGCTAAGGTTAAGCGTAGAGTTTTAGTGATCTCAGTCACCCACTGCAGCAAGTGATCTACTTACTTAGATTACCTTGGCTGGGGCGCGTGTTACGCTTCTCACCAAGTAGATGTTTGCCAATACAGTTAGTGGATAGGTCGCGTTTGGTTCCCTGACTGGGGATCTCGGGTCCAGCACAATGGGTTAGAAACACAGTGACAGCTGAGTGTCGTAACCAGTGGCAATTGTTCATCTACTCGTTATCTTTGCAACTTATGGTCTTCTGAGTTCCGTATTTTCTCCTGATTTCAACTTTCCCCTCTTCCCTCTGCTCCTTCATCCAAACAATTAGCCAAAAGATGGCAACCAAAACCGCTGCACGGAATTGTATAGTTGACGACCGTTTACACTGAAGCCGAAAACTGTATCTGCTCAGGTCCATAACCTTTCCGGGTTTCTCACTTATTGGGTGTTACAACATAACCGTCAAAGTAGTAGTAGTAAAAACGTATCATCTTACCCTTCGCTCGTCTAATTGGTTTGGTAATTTTATTGATTTAATTATTCTTTGCCGATCTATTTGAGGGACTAACAACGGACATATAATTGGCTACATCCATCCATCACTCTGGTCATCGCTACTCGTATTCTGAATACTTTCGTAGACCTTGGAACCTTTGGTTCAAGGTTCGAGCCCCGCCACCGTCACCGAACTTTGGTGGTAGGCAGCTTTGTTGTCGTCCTGGTTCAATGCCACGCCTAACCTAGCAGGGCCTAATGTGGTACGTCACTCCAAATCCTGGGATTTGGTCCCCGGTTTCCATCACCGAATAGCAGCTATTCGGACTCTTGGGCCCACCTCGTTCATCACACAAACTATTTGTAATGAAAAAGCTAAAAACCCTGCAGGCATCTAGCGCTTCCGTAAGTTCCATTTTAAATGAAGCATCATGAGCTCTGCGGCTCAATGACTGACTCTTTTTGCACAGGCGAAGCCTAGGGAGGGCGAACGTGACTGAATTAATTCATTCTAGATGTATCAGAAAATGAATCAGACGTGTGCGAAATTTTTTCAATGAGTCTAGTATCTGCCGATTTAATTTTGGATAAAGGGTGACTTCTCATATCATGTTCAGGAACTTGCGTTCCGGCTGTCCGCATCACAGTATCCATTGAAGACCAAACCCCTGATCCCGTCTTTTTACGATAGAATGTGGTTTTAATACTATTCGACCCGGTAGTACTTTGTATCCAAGCGAATTTTCCACGAAGTTTTCATAAGTGATTTCCGAATTTGTCAACCTTAAGGTTTAACTTGCAACTTGAAATATTCCCGATTATATTGTGTACTACTCATGAGTAGTTGAACTTGCTCGTACAATTTTTATAAACTCCTCCACCAGCTTGACGTATTACTTGCTTCCGGGCTCCTTACCTTTGCACCATGTTCGCCACCCACCTGAAAAATAGTCATTTTGCATCTTACATTTTTCTAATTTTTTGACCATTTTTTTTTCATTATAACTACAATAGTTATCGTTTATTAGAACGGAGGGAAGACAAATACTACGAGATGTTAGCATTTCTTTCAATCTCTTCAGTCGCTACAACGTAAAACAAACAAGAAAGTTTTGGTAATTACAATGGTAAAAGGGACAATAGTCAGGGAAGCGGGAGAGAGGGTGAGGGTGGGTAATCAAGTCCATGCGAGTCTGACTGATTGTGTAAGGAACTTTTGTGCACTCACGACTGGGTTACGTAGCTTCATTAGCATCGCTTCGCTAAACGCCAAAATCCTGGGATTCAAGTTACGTAATAACGGCTTGGACGACATTCGTCAGTCAAC